TTTATTTCTGGATCTTCTCTTCTATTCCATTGGTCTTCAGGTCTGTTTTTGTGCCAGTTCCATGCTGTCTTTGTTTTTTTTTTTTTTTTTTTTAACCAGTCGTGGGACCTGAACTCTGGGCCTGGGCGCTGTCCCTTAGCTCTTCAGCTCAAGGCTAGCGCTCTACCACTTGAGCCACAGCGCCACTTCCGGCTTTTTCTTTTTGCTTATGTGGTGCTGAGGAATCGAACCCAGGGCCTTGAGCATGCAAGGCAAGCACTCTACCACTGAGCCACCTTCCAAGCCCATCCATGCTGTCTTTGTTATTATGGTTCTGTAGTAGAGTTTGAAGGCTGGCATCTAGATCCCTCCCATGTTGTCTTTTTTGCCCAGAATTGTTTTGGCTATTCTAGGTCTTTTGTTGTTCCATATGAATTTTTGGACTGTTTTCTGTATTTCAGAAATGTACATCATTGGGATTTTAATAGGAATTGCATTGAATTTGTATATTAATTTTGGCAGTATTGCTATTTTCACTATATTAAGTCTACCTATTCAACATGGAAGGTCTTTCCATTTCCTAGTGTCTTCTGTAATTTCTTTCTTTTAAGTTTCTATAGTGTTCATTAAATAGTTTTTTTACATCTTTGGTTAGGTTAATTCCTAAATATTTTATTTAGGATTTTTGTGAATGGAGTTTATTTCCCTTTCTGCTTGTACATTGTCAGTGTACAGGAAGGTGACTGATTTTTGTGGGTTGATTTTGTATCCTGCTGCTTAGCCGAAGTGATTTATAATTTCTAAGAGTTTGGGGATGGAGTTTTTGGGATCATGAAGGTATAGTTTAACCTCTTCTTTCCCTATGTGGATCCCTTTAATGTCTTTTTCTTGCCTTATTGCCCTGGCTAAGGGTTCCAGGACTATATTGAAGAGAAGTGGAGACAGTGGGCATCCTTGCCTTGTTCCTGATTTTAGGAGAATTGGTTGTAGTTTTTCCTCATTAAGTATAATATTGGCTATTGGTCTGTCGTATATGGTTTTTATTGTTTTAAGGAATGTTCCTTCTATTCCTATTTTCTCCAGAGCTTTTAACATGAATGAATGTTGTTTTTCTGCATCTGTGGAGATAATCATGTGATTCTTGACCTTGGCTCTGTTGATGTGTTGGATTACATTTATTGATTTACGTATGTTAAACCATCCCTGCATCTCTGGGATGAAGCCTACCTGGTCGTAGTATATAATTTTTTTTTAAATGTGTTTCTGGATTCTGTTAGCTACATTTTTTTTAAGGATCTTTGCATCTGTGTTCATGAAGGAGATTGGTCTGTAGTTCTCTTTTTTGGCTAGGTCTTTGCCTAGTTTGGGTATGAGTGTGACATTGGCATCGTAGAATGAGTTTGGGATAGCTCCCTCCTCTGCTTCTCTGAAGAGCTTGAGGAGTACGGGTATTAGTTCTTCTTTAAAGGTCTTATAGAATTCTGTTGTGAATCCATCTGGTCCTGGGCTTTTCCTTGTTGGAAGACTTGTGATTGCTTCTTGTATCTCGTTGTAAGATATTGGCTTATTTAATTGTTTTACTTCTTCTTTGCTCAGTTTGGGCAACTTGTATTTCTCTAAAAATGCATCCATTTCTTCTAGGTTTTCTTTCTTTAGAGAGTATATCTTTTGGGTTTTTTTGTTTTTTGTTTTGGTCCAGTTGTGGGGCCTGAACTCTGGCCCTGAGCACTGTCCCTCAGCTCTTCAGCTCAAGGCTTGTGCCCTACCACTTGAGCCACAGTGCCACTTCCGGTTTTTTTCTTTTTGCTTATGTGGTGCTGAGGAATCGAACCCAGGGCCTCAGGCATGCAAGGCAAGTGCTCTACCATTGAGCCACCTTCCCAGCCCTAGAGAGTATAACTTTTGAAAATAGTCCTTTATAATTGTTTGGATATCTTGGGTACTTGTGATTTTTTTTTTTTCCTGTGGCATCCCTGATCTTGATAATTTGGGTTTCCTCTCTTCTTTTGCCAGTCCTGAGGCTTGAACTCAGGGCCTGGGCACTGTCCCTGAGCTTCTTTTGCTCAAAACTAGCACTCTAACACTTGAGCCACAGCACTACTTCCATATTTTTCTGTGTATATGGTACTGAGGAATTGAAACCAGGGCATCATGCATGCTAGGCAAGCACTTCACCACTAAGCCACATTCCCAGCCCAAGAACACAAGCTTTCAAATCAGATACTTGGGCCCAGATCCCAGCTCTGCCATATGCTAGCTGTTTGTCTTTAAGCAAATTACTTGATCTTTCTCCACTTATTCCTCTCCTTTGCTCTGGCTTAGTTCTATAGAGCCTGGCACATAGAAAGTACTATTTCTGCTGAGCACTGGTGGTCACACCTGAAATCCTAGCTACTCAGGAGTATGAGATCTAAGAATCATGGTTCCAAGCTAACCTGGGCAGGAAAGACTGTGAGACTCTTTTATCTCCAATAAACTACCCCCCAAAAGCCAGAAATAGATCTGTGGCTCAAGGGATAGAACAATAGCCTTGAGCAAAAGAAGCTCAAGGACAGCACCAGGTCTGAGATAAAGCCCCAAGACCAGCAAAAAAAGAACTATATCTGCTGCTGTCACTATTATTACCATGGTGGTGATGGTTGTATCTGTACTATATTTCTCCATGCTTATTTTTCCCCAACACCATGCATAGAAGTACACTTTTGTCATGGCTGAGTTACCAAATCTATGTCCAAAGTGCTTGGGAAGAGAATTGTAGATCTTATTTTATTTGTTTGTTTGTTCTTTTTTAAATCAGTCCTAGGGCTGAGCACTGTCCCTGAGCTTCTTTTTGCTCAAGGCTAGCACTCTACCACCTGAACCACAGTGCCACTTCCAGTTTTTTCTATTTATGTGGCTCTGAGGAATTGAACCCAGGGCTTTATGCATGCTAGACAAACACTCTACTGCTAAGCTACATTCTCAACCCTGTAGATGTTACTTTAGATGAAAGAACAGTGATCAAAGTTAAAAAAGTAGGAGCTAAGGTGGTATGACAACAGCCTTGCTTTAAGGATCTATTCTTTTTTTTTTCCTCTCCATTCCATTTTTACTTTGTAGAAGAGACTTGTTTTTCTTTGTACAAACTTGTGGTTCATTTTCATTGTTTAGGATTTTCCTTGGAGATGCTCTGATCCATACCAAAAGTCTCGTACATATGCATAATTTCTGTGTTTGTTTTCTGGCTAATTTTTAGGCTTAATTAGATCCTCTTTTCTTATGTTTTCTCCTTAAAAGTTTGAAAACCATTTTGTTGTTCTTGGGTTGGCACATTGTGAGATGTTTGGTTAAGTAAATCTTTTGTGACCGAATCTGCCATCTACTTAGCTCTTATTAAATGAGAACTTTAAAAGCTTCTTGCTGAGAGGACTTTATCATTACTGACCAAATATTTCAAGATGTAGGCACAAACCATTTTTGTCAATTTTCAAATGCAGTGTAATTTTGAAGGTGTGCATCTCCACTTTGAAAGTTTAAATAATGTAAGAGTGATTAAGTTTAACAAGGTTTTGTTCATGCCATTTCTTTGCAAGTTTCTGTTTCCAGTTTGCTTACTTTGAAACAGTGCTGAACATAGGTGATTTTTGTCTAGAAGAGACAGTAATTTTTCTCTAATATAAGTAACTTAGAAAAGTTGTCTCCTAATGAAGATGTAAAAACAAAGTATGGCATCTTCAGATTATTCTTGGCTCTTTTTGTTTATTCCTCCAGCAAAGCAGATTTTATCTACTGTATTCTTTACTGTACTTTATTCTTTCTATTACACATTTGTTGGTGATGCATGCTAGCATATGGATGAATTAAAAGTCCAAAGGAATTGACTCTTCCATGGGAACTGGTCTCCTATAGTCAAAGTTGAGATAATAGAGAAGTAGAATCATTTTAATTAGTAGTAGTTCAAAATAAGATGAATGGCATCAGTAGATTTTTTTCTGGACAAATCCCATCAGTCAGGCTGGGGATTGTTGAGAGCTACAAAGGTACTGAAGACCTGAATTTTGCAAGTCCTGTGAATTTGTCCATTTGTACTGTCTCATTGCAGGCTCTTCAGTTCCCATTAGCCCCTTTTCACACGACCAGTCTTCCTAGGATTTAAGGTTACTACATATGAAAAATATTTCTAAGCTTCTTTCTATTTTGATGATAAAGATAACCTATGTAACTTATACTATTTATACTTTTATACTTACACTATTTTTTGGGAAGCTGCAGCTAGAGAGATTTAGTGATTTGCACCAAATCGCACTTGACTTCTTGGCTGAGCTGTAACTAAGTCTGGGTCTCTGTCTTCTCTAAATTAGTATTCCTTTCTTTGATTCATGCAGTCTTTCCTATTCACTCAATTAGCAAATGTAATAGAAAGGAATCTAATTAGTTTGGCTGCTAAAGGGTTTTGTGGATAGTGTCAGATTGGCAAGGAGGTTCTCTCCCCCCCCCCCAGCTTTTGAGTTGTGGCCAAATTTTGTCAGTTATTTCAGAGTTTTGAAGGCATCACATCAATTTGAATTTCTAACTGTCTAAGAAACATGCCTCTGTAGTGCAAATTAGAGACTTACTGTAGTGTACCAAATAGTCATTAGATATAGAGACGTTGTGGTAAGGGTAGCGGTGCCATTCCAACTGTTACTATCAGTGTGTATTTTTTCCAGGCCTGTGAGCTTTTGACACTACTTTGCTTTATAATTGAGGGGTTAGCAGTACTCTGGCAAACCAAGCATCCTCAGAAGCAGATGCTAGGGATGCAGGGGGCTGATGATTACACCATGTACTTGGCAGTTGGATGAATTGGCACTGCCATATCATAGGCATGAAAAGCTTGGAGTTGTGAGGTATGTAGCTGAGGTGAGGTATGGTCTGCAAGCTAATTGTTGGTCCCTGTTAGGGGCCCTTTCAAGGAGTTATTTAAATGGAACTGACTTTCTTTCAATGAAAGAAACCCCCATTTCCTAAAAGGAAGCTTGAAATTGACTTTTAAACTTTAGAGATTACTGATATCCCTGGAAGATATAGAGATGGAGCTGCAGTAGAAAGAAAGGCCACTGAAAGGTACGCCATCATTTTGAATTTTATTTACTTTGTTAAAGTGGGAAATCAGCTCTCGAGATAGTTCAGGAGTAGAGAATTAGTGTCTCTTCCCTACCTCCCTTTCCTCTCTGCCTTTGTCCTTCTCCTCTCTCTGTCCTTCTCTTCCTTTTCCCTCACTCCTATTCTCCTCTCCCTCCTCATGTTTCTTTTCTTCCATATATATATATATATATGTAAAGATACTGTACAGAGGGTCTTCCTTTGGTTTTTTTTTTTTTTGGTTGGTTGTGGGTCTTGAACTCTGGGCCTGAGTGCTGCCCCTCAGCTCTTCAGCTTAAGGCTAACGCTGTACCACTTGAGCCGCAGCACTACTTGCAGTTTTCTGGTGGTTAATTGGAGATAATAGTTTCATGGACTTTCTTGTCTGGGCTGGCTTTGAACCATGATCCTCAAATCTTAGCCTCCTGAGTAGCTAGGATTACAGGTGTGAAGCACCAGCACCTGGCTTTCCTTTTATTTATTTACTTATTTTTATTTTTTATTCTAGGTCTCATATGCAGCCCAGGCTGACAGCTGCCATATAGCCTAGGCTGGTGTCAAACTCCTCAGTGTTGTGATTACAGGCATGTACAAGTCTTGAGCTATGTGTCTCTTAAGTAAACTTGAGCTGTTGCCAGGAAATAGTAGACTCTTTGAATATTAGTGTTTATTTGTATAGAAAAAAATTCATGTAATTAAATATTTATTTGTAATTTGTTGGAAATATTTTGAATTTTTTAAATTATTTGTGGCAGATCTGTTTATATGTCATTATATATCAATATACACATTCAGTGTACTTCAGTGTGGTTTCTAAAATGCTGTATTTTTAGACTGAAATTTGTTTTAGAAGCTAAGATGGTCTATAATGTTATTTCCTACGTTATTAATTCACAAAATGTTAAAATATTGGATTATGTGGATTTTTTTTTCTTTTGGTCGGTCATGGGGCCTGGGCACTGTCACTCAGCTTGTCAGCTCAAGGCTAGCACTCTACCACTTGAGCCACAGTGCCACTTCTGGCCTTTTCTGCTTATGTGGTGTTGAGGAGTCAAACCCAGGGCCTCATGCATGCAAGGCAAGCACTCTACCACTGAGCCACCTTCCCAGCCCCAATTATGTGGAATTTTAAAGAATGATTTGCAAAAATGCTTTACTCAGAATTTAATTCAGAAACTGATAATCTTTTATGGAAAATTGAAATGTAATTTTTTTGCTTATATTTAGATTATACAGTGTATTTGACTTTCCATTCTTCAAAACATGTATCAAACACATTAAAAAACATGGACACTTCAACTACATAAAAACAAGGGATATTGTCATACCTAAAATGCTTATCTATCAAGTTTTTTTTAGTAGAAAATGTATCAGTTCATGTACATCATGTATGTTGAAATAAGTCAGTTTTTGCTTACATAAATTATTCTGGAGAGAGGTCTTCAATTATCTACTTGATGGTCCTTTGTCCTTTATTTATTTATTTTGTCAGTTGTGGGGCTTGAGCTCAGGGCCTCTTAATGCTCAGGGCTAGAGCTCTACTGCTTGAGCCACAATGCCACTTGTGGTTTTTGAGTGGTTAATTGGAGATAAGAGTCTCACATGGACTTTACTGCCCCAGCTGACTTTTTTTTTTGGTTAGTCCTGGAGTCTGAACTCTGGGCCTGGGCACTGTCCCTCAGCTGTTCAGCTCAAGGCAGCGCTCTACCATTTGAACCACAGTACCACTTCCAGCTTTTTCTGCTTATGTAGTACTGAGGAATTGAACCCAGGGCCTCATGCATGTGAGGCAAGCACTCTACCACTGAACCCTCCCAGCTGGCTTTGAACTGCAGTCTTCAGATCTCAGCCTCCTGAGTAGCTAGGATTACAGACATGAGCCACCAGCCCCTGACTGCCTTAGCTTCACTTTTTCTTTTCTTTTCTTCTCTTTTTTTTTTTTCAGGTAAGGGGTAGGTTTATTCATGGTTCTGTCTGGCACCAGGTCACGTTGGCCCTCCACGCGGCTGGGAAAGGCCTGGGAAAGAGGTGGGAAAGAGCTAGAAAAGAGCTAAAAAAGAGAAGAGAGAGCTGGGAAAGAGCTGGGAAAGAGAGGTGGGAAAGAGCTGGGAAAGAGCTGAGAAGGAAAGTGCTGAGAAAGAGCGTCTGGGCCTGGGCTAGGCCTTATCTAGAGAATGGGCGGAGAAAGGTGTGGCCACATCAAATTCAGATGTGACCTCAGCGGATGCAGATGTGACCTCTTCCAGGTGTCCCAGTTGCCTAGGTAATGCACGTACTGGGTGGAGACTTTGCTGCGAGGAGGGTGGAGTCTGCTGGTCATCCAGGAGCGGACCTTACATTCCAGCCTTTTAATAATCATGAAATAGGGCGCAAATTCTCTCTGGCTACTTCCTGCTGACAAGAGGTGTTGACATTAGGGGTGAAAGGCTGGAATTTGGTCCCCTCTCAGAGAAGGCAGCAAGCAGCAGCTGTCCCTTGGTGGTGTGAGTCCTTAGATGAAGTCTGGAGAAGTCTCATGAGGCATTGAGGGGCTGGAAAAAAATACTAGAGAACAAATAAATGGCAAGAGGAAGGACTTGGGGCTGAAAAATGTTGGTAGAAATGTCCCTATCTGGTGACAAGGTAGAGGAGAATTCAGGTAACAAAGGCAAGAATGTAAATTCCTGTTCAGTTAATAGGTAGACAGGTATAGACATTGGATGGGCAGGCTTCTTCTACTGACCTCCCGGCTCTGGTTAATTTTGAAAGGGCAGGCACAAAGTAGCTGATGTGACATCATCTCCTCTTACTCTTCTCCATGTTCCCTTGTTCTTCAGACTGGCTGAGTCTAGGTGCTCATTGCTGGGATGGCTTATCCCAGTTGGTATTCAAGGGGGTTTGAACTCAAGGCCTGAGCACTGTCCCTGAGCACTTCTGCTCAAGGCTAGTGTTCTACCACTTTGAGTTACAGTACCACTTCCATTGTTTGGCTGGTTAGAGATAAGAGTCTTGAGCCATGCTTCCAGCCTGGCTCTTTGCAGGTTAGTTGGGAGATGGAGTCTTAGGGATTTTTTAGCCTGGGCTGGCTTTGAACTGCAATCTTTGCCACAAAAGCCCTTTATTATTTCCAATTAAAGCAACTAGGAGATCAAATAAAATAGAACTTATCTGGTCCTTACCAAGAATTGACCAACAAATATTCTGCAATGACAAAACTTGTTAGATATGATGAAAATTTTAGCGCAGATAGGCCCAGTATTTTAGAACCACATAATCAGTAGTAAAATACACAACACAAAACAAAAAAGGCAAAACTCAAAACCTAAAATTTTGACAACAATATGTAGACATCTTTGCTAACAAAGCACATCAAATGGTTGGGCCTCAGTTACCAGGGCCTGTGAAAAGAGCAACTTGTTAGCAAGGTACCTTAGAATAGATGGATGGAGTGGTAAGCTTGGTGGAAGGTTAAGGGTCAGATGGGGCCAAACCCTTAACTCACCATGTGGCCAGGATGGCGAACTCAAGATGGCGAATTTCTGAAAGAATGCAAAGAGACCCTGAACAAATAGATCAAGCCTACATTGGCTAGCCTTTGAGAGGAAACCTAGAGGGGGGTCCCCAGGACCCAGCCTGCATCGCACTCTTCAGGGCACAAGCCAAAATGTTGTAGAAAAGAGAATAGGAGAGATAGGGAAAGTTGGACATGAATGGCAGAGAGAGAGCAAAGAGAGCCCGAAAGTAAACAGACTTCTGACCATTTACCATTGCAGTAGCAAAAACTGTCTACATCTGAGAATGGCATAAAATGAGGCGCTCTGGCTTTCCAGGGAGCGCAGGAGGCATTTCAAAGGGGTTTCACGGCTCAGGTGTGACTCGCAGCACCCCATTAAATGTGTAGGAGAGTCAGTCTGGTGAGTGAAGGAGAGCTGACCAGGCAGAAGCGGCGTTCCGACTTCCCCCAGAGCCTTCTAGAGAGAAATGGCCAAGCCCCCAAAACCAAGCGTCCTCAGCTTCGGAGGTGACCGGCTAAAAGGCTGTAGGAGCTCTTGGGTGTGGCACCACGTCTGGACAGAGACTGACCAACAGAGAACCAGAGAGAGTAGTTTCACTCACCAGAGTAGAGAAGTGGTGTGGATGTGGATGTGAAGGCCAGCAATGGTATGCATGTGCTGTGTCCGCAGCAGACATACCGGTTTGCAAAAGGCCATCAGAACTGTGGGTATTCCTCAGAGCAAAAAGGGAAAAGCAAACAAAAAAAGAAAAAAGAGGAAAAAAACGGAGAGGAATCCCACGTATCCTGACTTTAAGCCCTTTATCCGAGTCACGGCACCATTAATGTTAGGTTTTTAGAAAGGTAGCTGAGTAAGAACAGCACCACACACATAGTATTCAGGTAAGGGGTAGGGTTATTCATCGTTCTGGCTGGCACCAGGCCACGTTGGCCCTCCCTGCGGCTGGGAAAGGCCTGGGAAAGGCCTGGGAAAGACCTGGGAAAGAGGTGGGAAAGGGGTGGGAAAGAGCTGAGAAAGAGCTAGAAAAGAGAAGAGAGAGGTGGGAAAGAGAGGTGGGAGAGAGCTGGGAAAGAGAGCTAAGAGAGCTGGGAAAGAGCTGAGAAGGAAAGAGCTCTTCTCTTCTCTTCTCTTCCTTCCATTCTTTTCTCTTGGGGTTGTCCAGTCTTGGGGTCTGAACTCTGGGCCTGGGCGCTGTCCCTCAGCTCTTCAGCTCAAGGCTAGCGCTCTACCACTTGAATCACAGCGCCACTTCTGGCTTTTTTCTGCTTATGTGGTGCTGAGGAATCAAATCCAGGGCCTCATGCATGCGAGGCAAGCACTCTACCACTGAGCCAACTTCCCAGTCCCTCTCTTTTTGATGAAGGAAAGGCATTAGAGAGACTTCTAAGTAGGATGGATTCCTTGAAGGAGAATTTGGATCTGAATGAACTCTTGGTCTTTTCTGATCTCTTTGGTTGCTAATAGTAGGCAACCAAAGTATCAAGTTGT